AATCAAGTCCTTGTATGGACAACCGATCAACATCAAGATAGATAACTATCCTTTTATTTTTCTATAAGAACTGCACGTGCGAAGAATATTATAGCTTTCCAAAAACAAAGTGTTCTTTCTTGTGTTAATTGAAATTTATTTAATTATGTATATCAAAATATCTACGAAAATAATGATAATTGTGACTATTATAGAAGATCGCAAATCAACACGCTACTGCAGGAGACATAGACAATATCTAAGATCAATCATACGCACATATATATGTATGTACATATATACAAATACATATATATAAATGTACACATACACATATGCATTTGTATATGTAAAGTTTGCGATACAATAGTCAAAATGCAATCGAAGACATGGAGACGACTAAGGCAGCACAACAAAAGTGTACATTGCAATGATGAGCAATGCCAATGCGCTGATAAAGACGACACAATCACTTGCAATGAGTCTCCATGCTCGCGCTGACTAGCACTGCTGGTGTTGCTAATGCAGCTGCTGTGTACGGGGCCCTGTGGCAGGCAATAAGGATGATGACGCATTCGCTTCGAATCCATATCACACACAAACATTTACATATGCACACACGTACATATATGTATACATATGTATATATATATATATATGAGTACTTAATTTTGCTCTTTTTACTATTGCTATAAATTATTACAATTTTTTTGCATGTGTGTTGCACATTCACCAGCTCCAATGTGCTAATAATTACTGCATTTATAAAGCTTTTTCAAATTATTGTTGCATCTAGTGACAAAAGTGCCAAGTGTCTGCCTGTTTGTCTCTGAGACACTTTGCTACACTAAATAGCTGCATACATATTCTTTCTGTCTCTCTGTTTGTCTGCCAGTCCGCCTGTTAGTTAAATGTCTGCCGCTGTCCAACTCGGCACGGCAGCTATCTTTACACTCATGCCTTTATCTATTTTGTAGTTGTTTTTACACGCTGCTGTTTGTTAGCTATATATAGTTGCGAGCATTGAAATGGTAGTGCCTATTGGCCAAAAGAGTTTTGCTTTAAATTTTGTTTCTTTTATGATATTGCCGTCGATCATTATTTTAGTTACATATATTCTCTGAAGTATAACCGTCCTGTTATATACAACAATAAGTGTGAATTACTTACCGTTACACTTTAAAGCCAATTTTATTGGGATATCTGTTTTTATGAGCGAGCAATAGAATAGTAGTGAACGATGAGATGATTGCAAACAGATAATTTTTAATAAAAAAATTTAATTTTATCAAACAAAAAGTAAGTTTCCAGATCTTTTATTAATTATTCAATGAAAAAAGCAAAAAAAAAATATGACTGCACTTTTTTTTCGGCCGCGGGGAGCACTGCAGTGCCGAAAAACGAGAATGTATTCAATCTGTCATAAACAACGGTAAATCCTACAAGGGAGTGGAAAGAATTGTAGGGTGTTAAGCCACAACGACTCACAATGCAATTATTTATAAAAAAAAAAAGACGAAAAAAGGGGCGCAATATGGATTCTTTCCGAAAATTTTACACCAAAAGTTGTAAGAATGTCAGCTATGGAGATTCGGAATGAACTGAACATCATTGTAAATAAACATATCTTGTACATATTCAAATCTAAATATTTTTAGTAATAACATAGCCTGGAAAATATGATCCACTTTTGCATTTCAATGGATGTTAAAATTGTTTGGAATTTACCATAACTCACAGATATGTAAAGCTCTAACACCCATTACTGTTTCACTGCTCGCAGCTGTACATACATATGTGAATGACTGACTGACTGCCTCCCTGCCTCACTAGCTGATGGTCGATTGCATTGCCGCAAGTTGACAAGTTGCTCAAGGCGTTGAAGCATTGCGTTGCTAAATCACATTTTTGATAATACCACTTTGGCGATGTTGCTGCTTGTGGTTTCATTTTGAGTTTTCGAAATATGCCTGCGTCCGCTTTGGTGACTAGGCTATGCATGCCAGCGTGTGTGCCTTGCTTGTTGTGCGACAAGTGAAAGTGGAACTCTATTTCTAATTTTAAACCAAGTCGAGTACTTTTTGTTGATTTCTTTTTGGTTTTGCTCAATTTGCCGTTTTATATATTAAAATATATTCTTTTCGGTATGTGTGTATATATGTTCAAGTTATGGATATAACTGAATTTCTAATTTTTAAACGGCTTTCAAATTGTAAATGGAAGTTTTATTATAAGATCATTTGTAAAGTTCCAATATTCTAGAGTACATTATGAAACTACATAAATATTGTACATACATATGCCTTGCTAATCAATGTTAATTATGTTAATTAGATTTATACATAGTAATAGATGTATTTGTGTAAATCTCAATACTTTCGTCTAATGAAAAGTAATTTCATACAAAAATATGTACGAAAGTGCGTACAATTTTATTTGGGTAACTACCTACAAAGTGCAGAATTTTGAATTTAATAACAGGTAAACATATAGCATTTTTATTAGTCTGCAAATACGTTACAAAATTTACTTTATTTTTCGTTTGTCCGGCTTTCCTACTTATGCCATATATAGATAGGCAGTCGGCCGCAGTATGTCGTTCTTTGGTGCTGTGCGTGGGGGCACTAACCACAGCCAGCAAACATACAAACATTACATTCATACACAGTCTCGACAGCCATATGATGCAGACGACTTTGGACGTGAACACACGTTTGCGCGCAAGCGCTCCAGCGCTCTAACAAAACAGCGCCACTCACCTCACCTCGATTTCTTGCCGCACTCTTTCACACAGTTGGAGGTCACGTTGTCGATTTGTTTTCACACTTGCTTAGCCATTTGATGTTAACCTTTGCTTTACATGATTTTTGTTGTTGCTGTTGCTGTTATTATTTTCCTTTTTTGCTACACATTTATGATTTCTTAATGACTTTAGCAGTTATTATTTGCTATATTTGCATGCCGGCTACTGTTCGCTGGCACATACATACATACATATGTATCTACAAACGTACGAGTGTATATAAAAACATACTTATCTAAGTACATTAATGTATTATACATTGCTAGCTGTGCAATAATTAGTCGGGTAGTGCGTGTGGAGAGATGTGTGGTGCCCCATCTCATATGGTAGACGGTTCGTTTACCCGTTGGCGCACAATTTTTTATGTGAACAAACGTAGTTTTGCCATTATCACGATGAGTCAGTTCGAGTAATTCGATGCAAAAGTCCCTACGCTTAGAGCTAATATTTAAATGATGTGCATAAAATTGAAATTAAATTTGTTACGATCAGTATGGTGAATTTCGTTTGTCTTCCACTTGTCCGTTTGTATGTATATGTACAAGCCACTCTGTTCTTTGTGATATCGATCTGAAATTTTGAACACGTCCTCTTCTCCTCAAGAAGCTGAACTACCAATATCGGACGGCTATAGCATAAGCTGTTATACAAGCTTAAAGATCAAATACAAGTCCTTGTATGGCAACTATTTCATTTAAGATATCTTCATTGTCCAAGGTAACACCACAATCTCCCAACAAATTTTTCAGATCGGATCACTGTAAAACATACATTCATATGAGCATTTGGAAATAGCTGTCATTTAAACAGAATGTTTAAAGTCAAGTTCTTGTACAGAAACTTTTTTATGTGTAAATGGTAGGCGCAGGATAACGGCCTTATGATTCATATTTCCAATAGCACCAAGCAGTATATTGCAATTTCTATGCTGGGGCTAAGTGAGTCACAGTAGAGGGCACAATAGGACCTTAGGTCACGGGGAAATTCTCAATTACATATTTTTAATATAATCTAATCGAAACCGTATTATATCTTCCTTGCAACTGAAGTTAACTTTTTCCTTCTTTTTTTTAATATTAAATATTTTTTCTTATGAACTCTTTACTAGATGACGTTCGTATATTTTTGTTATTATAATTTTTTATTGTGCAAGCAAGTTTTAAGTAACCGTACAGCAATTGTTAATTATATAATTTCAGTTTTCCCTTTACTTGTGGCTTAAATATATTTGTCTTTTGTCTTTAGTACACTTGAATTCTTAACGTAAGAAATTAACATTCGCCGGTTTTCGCCCTTTTTTAGTCTCTATAAAAACAATGCACGCACAAATGTTCTTGTGTAGAATGGCTTTCGACTTGTTGCACATTAGGCCTATTACAATGTACAAGTGTATGTGCGTGTGTAAATATATATGTGCATGTACGTATCTATAAAATGAGAAACAATATTCTGTTACGTTTTGCATATTCAAGTTAAAATATGTTTTGTGTAATTTTGCGGCTGCTATTTCTAAACAAAACAATGTATATTTATGAATTAGAATGCATCGACAGCAAAAACTTAACAAAACAAACAAAAATATTGCATTCTCTCAACGCTTACGGCGCTCCCAAGTAAAAATATAGACTTATGTGTTGCAAACAGCTTGCGGGAAGCAGTGCAGTAACAATCGACAGAGGCAGCAACATTTTTATTCCCTTTTTTGGGTGTTGGACTCAGATAACACACTCTCGCGTTTATCTTGCGGATACTGTGCGGTGTGTGAGCAAGCACCCACCATAGCAAAAAAAATAACCAACATGCTAGTTGCTTCGTTTACTCTAACGTACTCATGGCACAGAAAATGTGCGAATTCCGCACGCACACAAGTTAAGCGACAAGAAGCACAGCAGACACACATACATACCGTGAGTGCTTTGCGTAAAAGTGAAAAATAAAACATACATATATTGAAACTGCCACAAAGTATTTTTCACCACTCCGGTGTTTTAGTTAGCAATCCTTTAGGCATTTATTTATTGTACTATTTGGATGTAGTCATTTTGTTATAATTACATTTTTAATTTGTTAGCATTTTTACACTGACAACACAAAAATGACCCATAACAGCACAAATCACGTCAACACTTTGCGCTTGACGCTTGATGCAGAGAATATCTCAAAAAATTTATATGAAATACAAAAAAAAATTGCCGCTCAGTGTTTCACATTCACTCACTTTTCTTTAGGATTCACTTTGGATTCTTTCAATTTCAATTTTTCTTTATCACAAACGAAAACGCGCACAAAGTTTCCCGTGTATCCAAAATAAATTCAAATCGCTTTGTTGTAAAGTTGGTGTATAAATTTCATCTGTGTAAAATTTCTATTTTGAAAGAATTGAGAACTTTTAAAAAAAATTTTAAGGGGAAAGAAGAAAATCCAACAAGAACGAATGAAGAAAACTCCCGACTGCCGATTTCCGACTGATTACGAATAAAAACTAAACTCACTAATCTGACGACGAATTCCGGTAGACTGGTGAACTGCTAAACTGGCAAACTCGATTTCTCATCAACTGACACAAATTCAACTAACTAAATTCCGACATAAACACGAATCGCCAATTCACCACAATCAAAATATTGTGCTATGAGAAAACGTCAAAAAATCAGTGATGCCAGATTATGCATATACACTTATATATATTCTATAAAAAAAACTAAATGTCCGAGCATTAACAATTTATCACATTTGGCCGAAAAGTTAGGTACTACAACAAACCAATGGTCTAAGCTGCCCAAGTGCGAACACGGTTAGGACCGACCTCTAACTTAACCTAAAAAAAAACGTTACTACTACTACTTCTAAAAATATATGAATGTATTATAAGAACTTCCACTTCAGGGAATACTCAGCGGTAGTTTATATTGGGCGCAAATGAAAATATTGAAATTTATTTGTTTGTAGGTAGTGTCTGTTGTTTTAAGCCCTTAAAGACAGAAATTCTAACATTTCGTTGTCGACAATAAACATATATTTACTTTTTAAATTACTTTTAATTTCGTATATCTTTTTTATATGCAATAAAAATCGAACATATACACTCGTTATAGGCCCCGGTCAACCTTTTTCAATCCACATATCAAAAGCGAGTTGTTTCCACAAGTTTGCCAGTTTTCGCTAAATAAAGAAGTTCTTGTATTTTTAGTTGCAGCATCGCTCTTATATGCGGTTCTCTAACGTTGGCCAATTGTAAACCAATACTTTCACCAAACACTTGACACTCGCGCATTTCAGAAGGTGCTAAGCCAATCGGTACGGCTTGCAATTGATTTGGATGAACAATGGTAATGGGTGTTTGATTAACAAGTGGTGGGACGGCAGATTGTGGCGGTTGTGGTGTTTGCGGTTGCAGAGGTGGTCCATGTATTATATTTGGAATGGGCATTGTTGCGGCAGAAGTAGACGATATGATGGGATCATTTTGTATGGCATTTATTGAAACCTGGCTATGAGGTTCTATATCCGTCCTTGTAGCTTCTGCATTTACACAAATTGGTGGAACACCAATAGACGAGCATACACGCTTGCGTTGCGGACGAAAAGATGTATCCGGCTTAACATTGGCGTGAGGTGGATGCTAAAATACAATAGGTTATTTCGTATAAAATCACAATTTAAAAGAAGTAATTATTTAACCATTTCATCACTTGGGTTGGCGGGCGCAACAGCTTCTGGTTTTGAATTTTGACGTTGAATAGCTGTTTTTGACTCGTTAGTTGATATTGTATCCAGTTGTCTTGTTGGCGATGGACTGACCGCTTCAGATTTCATCATAGACCTTCTGCTCCTTTTTCTGCTATTGGCAGCTGTAGTATTAGTCTAAAAACAAAAATAATTTAAAAAAATGCGATTTATTTCTTTAAATTACTTACATTTGTTATAGCTTTAGCATCATCTACTCCATTTTCTAAAGCATTTGTTTTAACTGCTGAATCGCCAAGTGTCAATTTGGAATCTGTCTCGTTTACTTCCGACCATATCTCGTCTTCGTTAGTTACCTCACATACTGATTCACAAAACAATGATGGCACCACACGCTCCTGCCCCTCTTGGTATGCATCCAAGTCATCAGAAGCCGTTAATGCCTCCTTGAAAATATCATAATACTCCCACGCTATTAAAGACTGCATACCACTATCTTCCTTTAATCTATTCTTCTTATAAGTTTGCAGCATATTTCGATATTTCAAATCACAGACTTCCGCAGTTAATGAAAAGTCGCACAAACCTTGTCGTCTCATTTCAGTGGCAATCTCAGACCACAGTTCCTTTTTCTGTCTAATACGTTGTTGGAACTCTAATTGCCTTTCAAAACGCAGTTGCAACATAACTCGTGTACATTCTGGCGTCCACCGGGTTTGCGCTTGAGGCGATTGTAACTCCCAATTTTCACCGGTTTCGTTACAGTCTGCGGCTTCAGAGTCACCATTTTCTTCGAATTGTGGTTCAGTTTTGTTACGCTTTGATTTCATTTTATATCTCTTAAGCTATTTAAGTGATCTAGTTATTCTTTGTTAATTGAAGTGTGTTTTAAATCACTTGCGGAAATTCTGCAGCCACCATTGATACCAAAATTCACGATTTGCTTCAATCAACTTTCGTTTGCTTTTTCCTTTTTTATCAACTGTTGCCAAACAACAGCCAACCTATGCAAAAACAACAAAAGTAAGCACACCAAAATGCACCACCACTAAGCGCTATTGCTTTCAACTGTGTTGCCACCATTTTGGTGAATCTGTCAGCAATGAAACGCAAATCGAGCATCGTTTTTCAAAACACCGCACAATCGATTTAGCATATTGCTTTGGTGCAAGGGCAGCGGTTGTATTGGTCGACGATTTGACACACTCAGCATTGCAACAACAAATATGAATAAATCCGGAGACGAAAACCAGACGACAACAAACCAGAAAAAATATGTACATATATATATTTGCGTGTGTCATATACGTAACCCAGCAGTGTGTGTTGGGATACATTAAATAAGTTTAGGTATTATTTATATATATATATCAAAATATATGTATATTTTGTCCATATATATATATATGTATGTATATAATATATAGCTGAAGAAACTGAACTATCGGAAACAAGTGCTTGTATGGAAAGTTTTTCATTTGATGGTATTCCTTCAAGAAATTTGATATGATCTAAGACAACGGTGCATTTTTCGAAGAAATTTTTCAGATCGGATCACTATAGCATATACCTGTCATTTTATACTGACAGAAAAAAATCAACTTCTTGCAAGGAATTTTAATATATGTACATAAGCCGAGAGTTCAATATCCTCGCATGAGGATGCCCTGCTAACCCTACGCATCCGACACCCCTATTCCTATGATCCTACCGTTGGATGACCTCGATGACATTTAATCCTTACTATCCTAACGGGGACTAGATAACCGTTACCACAACAATAACAACAGACCGCGACTATATTTTTATTTCCACTGTGTATGGAAAGGGGAAAGGTCCTAGAACTTTCCCTCCCACACAACTGTTTCCATGGTTAATATTAATGTATGATGATCTCTTCGAATCGAGAGTGCTGTCAAAACGTTATTTTTTTATAACCTTTGTCAATGGGAAAACGTAAATTTTGAGATAATTTGTTTTTTTTTTCGGATTTCTTCGGACAAGCGCTTTTATTTCGGTGATCTAAGCCTGTTTTGAACGACAACTGTAAGTGTTAATTCGCCAAATAATTTGAGGCTGTCAACACAATTTTAGACAACTTAAGTCCTTCGCCGGATAAATAGTTCGGATTCGTTCAAGGAATGTTTCTGTCGGGAGAACGGATTTCTTAAGAAGTAATTACTGCTTTAACGGTCAGGAATATTAGAAGTAGCATTTCCTCGTCTTTGTACTAGTGCAAGATTGGAAATCCAATATGTTCCAATATTGTGGAAGTAACTGTAATGCGAACGATGTTAGCATTATAAGGACCCATAATTTAACATTAACATGACATTTATGTTTACGTACATATGTATATATACACACATGTATTTCGGTTTTCTACAACAGAATATATTAATCTATACATGTCTGTTATGAACATACATATATATGTATATGGTGCACTGCAACCTTGTCCTATACTCTGTGCGATGAGCAAGAGCAATCAGTGGCGGTAAAGCAATAATAACTTTATCAATCCATAGATATGAAGTCTGAAGATCATCTCTGCAAGAACCATTAAAAGTCTTGAATAGTTGTCAGATTCTTTTTGCGATGAGTATAAAATGCCTATTGCTTACAAAAATCCCCCGATGCGACACAAGTGGACATACGTTTACATACATATGTACATATGTAAGCCTAGATACATTTAACACATTTAGAACATGAATACATATTTACATACCTTTTTATGTACTTACATACATCTATGCTTTCCATATTTGCACACGAATGAGAAATAAAATATCATAAAATCTAAAAGCCAGCTTTTCATGCGGTTTCGCTATAAAAGATGCGTCAACTGGTGCACCCAAATCAGTTCCGATTGCAATTTAGGAGTAAACAAACCACTTCTTAACGAATTCTGAACGTTACCGCCCCAGAAAGTTCAACGTTTGAAAGGCGTTAATTAATTTATGAATTTGGTGGCAATTTATAGAGTAAACACTTAGTTAAAATATGGGGATTAACAGCGGAAAGGTAAACGAACACTTCAATGTATCAACAATAACAAGATGTCTAATAAATTTTTTTAATTTTCGCATACAGTATCTTTTAATTGTTGGCATCCTGTTGCTTGTCGGCCAATATAAAAGCGTTAGTGGGTATCCTCAAGCTGCCAAGGCTACCGCGCTGGCAAGCGCAGATGCGGTACGTTGTGTTTCCATACATTTATATTAAGCACATAACTTTTTTCCTAAAAATAAAAATTCTTTAAAATAGCAGTCCAGTGGTGACAACGCCGGTGCTCTTGCCGTGGCGTCTGCTGAGGCAGATGCCGATTTGAAGGGTTCGGAAACCTTTGGGTTTGGCTACTATCCAGGTGTGATTGGTGGTGGTGGTGGTCTATATGGTCATGGATTAGGTTATGGCGGCTATGGTTACGGCGGGCGCTGGGGTTATGGTGGCTATCACGGTTATGGCGGCTATGGCGGATATGGTGGCTACGGAGGAGGATATGGCGGTGGTTTCTATCGACGTCCCATTTATCCAGTGTGGGGTTGATAATATTACTATTTAAATATCTGCTCGTCATCAGTATTAAAGGCATCGCTTAACGGTTACGGTACTTACGTATACATATGTATATATTATAAATATATTTGCTCTATATTAAAAGTTTAAATAGTGAGTGTTTTGAAATGAACTACTAGTTACTGGAGCGTAGTTGGAGCAAATCGAAACGATTTGGTGTAATTCTGACAGCAAGCTGCATTAATATTACTTTTCTTTTTAAGTGCATTGAGATATATCCCTAAAAATATAATATGTTCTCTATAAAAAAAACTAAAAGGTCGAAAATAATTAGACTCCAGGATCGATAAAATTGTTTTCCTAGATTGGTAAAATCATTTTTTTTTGTTCGTGTAATTTTTAATCACCATCTGTCAATTAGTGTGTGCTTGCAAGTCGTTCGTTAACGACTCGAAAAAATCAAAGAGTGGACTTTTTAGTCTTTAAATGCACCGACCCCTTGAAGTTTGAACCATGACCTCCTGAGATTATAGAAAACTTCCAAGTATTGATAATATCGGAAAATCTATAAAACATATACATATGTAAAATACTAAAGTAGTAGGTCGTTAATATCGAATAGCCAATCACTTGTAGATTCAACACATATGAATCAGGTCTCCAACATATGTATGGGCACTAATATGATGAATTTTGAAAAGGATACGACATTCATAAAATGTTTGTATCACAATGAAGCGTATATAGAGGTCATCGCTTCTAGTTAGATTTGGTTCCTATGCCTTTTTCCCATACCGAAACCCAAAAAACCAGATAGCCATGAATCGATTAAAAGCCTAAGAATGAATTTTGTATAGTATTGTAATTTTGCAATATTTAAATATGTACTTTTGCGGTCACTAAAACTGCACCACTCCAAATTTGAAAAGATAATACCAGCTCTAGTACTGTGGAATGAGTTATTTTTTATGAAATTGATTTGAATACTCTTCAGTTGCAGTCGTGTTTTGATTCTGTACTTGAAAAGTTGCGTAAAATGCCAAGTTATCGGAAGAAATTAACGCGTGACGAAAAAATTCGCATTTTGGCAAAAAAATGAAGAAAAGTGATATTCTCGGCAAATAACAGCTGGTATTGGTTGTAGCCATTCAACTATTGTTCGTCTTATAAAAAAAAATAAAATTAAAAAATAGTGATGTTTTAGAGCGTAAAATGGATACAAGTCGTCCTCGAAAGTCAACTGAGAGAATAGAGAACTTGTTGCAGCGGATAAGTTTAAACGAACGCTTTAAAAGTGCACTTTCTAGTGAGGAGTTCCATTTTGAATGATCATTTTGCCTAAGAAAAGTGAAAGCACGATTAGTTCCAAAATCACTCAATAAAAAAAAAAACAAAAAAACAAAAAAAACATCAACGTCTGTGAAACAATGCTTCCCGACTAACAGGATGTCATGAAACATATTATTACTGGCGGTGAGTCTTGGATCTATGCTTGCGAGGCGTAAACAAACGATCAAACGGCCGAATATCGAGGCAAAAGTCAAAGCCGGTAAAAAATTAAGGATATGTCGACAGTTTTCATCGATTATCGAGATGTGGTGCACTACGAATTCCTTACGACTGGCCAAACTGTCAACAAGGAATACTATTTGAGTGTTATGTACCGTTTACGTGCAGCTATTTGTGAAAAGAGGTCAAAATTATGGGCCGACAACTCTTGGGTTTTGCACCACGACAAAGCGCTGTCGCATACTGCATTGATTCTGCGTGAGTTTTACCCAAATTTTCAAACCAATATCGTGCCTTACATATTTGCTGGTTTAGTCCGCGCGAATTCTGACTGTTCAGCAAACTCAAAAGACCGCTCCGAGGAAACCATTTTGAGTCTATTGAAAACATTAATCGCGAATCGTCACCCACATTGAAGGCACTTCAGTGGACTTTAACAACTGTTAAATTAGAATTAGGAAAAACGTTGGCACAAGTATATTGGGGCCAAGGAGAATTACTTTAAAGGGGACGACATAAATTTTGAAGAATAAATAAGGAATTTTAAAATTATGAGCAAAGTCTTACTATCTTTTGCTCGTATTATATACATACATATGTATATAGTTACTACAAAAAATACACTTAAGGAGGGAATTATATAATAGCTTCATTACAGTCGAAATTAACATTTTCCTCATTTTGTTTTGTTTAAAAAATTTTCGGTTTGTAGGTGTGGCAATAGTTCAATTGCGCACGAATACATCTTTAAGATGCTGATGTTCAAATTATCGCATGTTGGACAGATGGACGGCCGACAGACTTCCGGCAATCAATTCCCTTTGCTGTCGTTATCATTTTGATATTTACAAGTAGATACGTAGGTTGACTTTTGTATTTCACGGTTAGAGAATGAAAAAAAATTTTAATCTTCGAAAATCGATTTATTCCTTTTTCAAAACATCTCCGTTAAGATGTATAAAGTTTTATATGCATTTGAACCAGTTGTTGTGGACTTTTGCCACTCTGACTGAGGTATCTTCAAAGCATGAGTGCTGATCGTATCGACCGCTTCTTCAGGTGACGAAAAACGTTGACCTCTTAGTTTATATAAAAAGAAGTAATTCGATACCAATTCAGGAGGCGGATGACTCATATAAAATCGATGTTTTGAGTGCTCACAAATACGACTGATTCAGTCGAAGTGTGAGAGCTAGCATTTTCGTGATGACGAGTGATCCGTCTTTTCAATTTCTTGAGAACAAGCAAATAAATAGTTTTGTACCACTCAGAATTTACGGTGCTGTATTGTTCTAGTGGTATGATTGCGAAATGTTCAGTTTATATAAAAAAAAACCGTTGCTTGAAAGTGCTTCGTGCATGAACAGCTTTTGTTGGATTCCGTTCATCTTGAAACATATGTATGTACATGAAGTCGACTGGTCTTTACTTTCGGGCTCATACGCATAAATCCACGATTCATCATCTCTCACGATTTCATAGGCATGTTTCGAAGCACAGCTATTGTATTTTTTCAACATTTCTCCCGATCACTCGATACGAGTTTTTTTTTTGAGCGAGTGACAAATTCTGTGGGATCCAACGTGAAAAAAGTTGTTTATAGTCAAATGTTCATAATTGGCTCGATCTCAGAATAGATCACATGATAAACATTTGTTTGTGCACAGCATCAATAGTTTCCGGAACAACTACTGATTTTGGATAAACTTCACAGGAGCCGTCTTGGAGTGATCTAGGACCTCGATGGAATACACCATACCACCGACAAGCCCTGTCCTTCATCGAAAAAATTGAATTAAGTTCATCGCTGCACTGTTGCGGTTTCTTTGTCTCGCTCAAAATGTTCTGTGTACGCATACCTTCAAAAATGTCAAACTTTAAGATAGAATTGTGAGTTTTCCGATCGCAAGCACTAGGGTAGGCAAATCCCGAAATATAAAAGGCAATCTACGCATTAGTGTATTCAAACGTGTCACGAGCAAAGCTCTTAGCGACATTTGATCGAATAATGATTATCTTGTCACATTTGCAGTTTCAGTTTAAATAATATGTATATTTAAGGGGTGTATAAATGAAGGTCAAACAAACACCGAAAAATTAGGCTTAATCATTATCACGGACCGGCATTTACGCTTCAATTTCGGCTTCAAAACCAGCAGGAACAACAATTACAGCAAACACAGTTCGTGTTATCATTATACTAAATAAAATTTACTTTTTTTGATTGTTTCTTAAATTTTTTTTTTCTTCTCAAAAACAACGCGTTTATTATTTCTTTCATTATTTTTTTAAGATGCACATATTATAATTCAATCAAATAGACGAAAATATAATAATTTTATACCCAGTGAGTGAATTTGCATGTCAGTTGATTAACAGTGTCCATTTGGTGGGTAAATATTTTAGGTTGACCAATGCGGATCGCATCATGCTGCCGACAAAATTCCTACAGCATAATTGTCGTCCGTTCGCCCAACTATCTGTATGTATGTATGCTGGAACGGATCTATAGCTCATTCTGAACAACTTTGCTTAAGGGCCTTAAAACGGTTTCGAGCCAGTAATTTTTAAGACGGATTTTAAAAAATCGGATAGATCGGTTATATGAGATATACAGGGATTGTCCGRAAAGTAATAGCACTGAATTGATTAAAAAAAATGTATTAAACAATCGTTACATTTCTTTAAAAATTTTCAAAGTTGGCTCCCTCTGCGTCGATGCAGCGCTGAGAGCGAGATTTCCAAGCATTGAAGGCGTCACGGAAGGCACTCTCCGGAATAACTTTGAGAGCCGTGGTGCATGCTGCGTGGATCCGCTCAGTCGTCTCAAAATGCTTGTCTTCCATCGGCCGTTTCAGGCTAGGAAACAAAAAAATGTCTGGTCCACATCTGCGTTGGGCTGCCGGCCTTGATTAGGTGGCTGTTCACAAGAAAGTCGGTGCGAGTGGGGGTGTTGTCGTGGTGCAACTTTCAATCGGCTGCGATGTCTTGTCGAACCCGATTGAGCCTTCGATTGAATCTCTTGAGTTTTTCCAGAAAGAACAAATTCATGCTTAATCATATCAAACGCTTCTGTAATTTAATTTAATTGCGTACCTCTGCTCTAACGAACGCTGCATTTTCGGCTTGCACCAAAACTGATGAAATCGCTGGCTCGAAACCGTTTTTGGATCTGTAGTCTCTTCGGCAAAGTTGTTCAGAACTATCTGTAGAATATTTACCGCATATGTCATATTTTCGTCTTTTTGGCTTCCTGTAAATCAACCCGCTCCGATGTATGCGAACTAGTGCCTCAGTTTTTGAGATATTTCTCTTGAATTTTGTACATGTCTTTTTCTCCCAAATAATTTATTAGTTTTTTTTTTTACTTGTCCAGATATATTCACGTAGTTTGACATTGATTATTGTTGAAGGTAAGGGCGCAGACGCCAAAACAATGTTTCAGATCGAATCACTGTCGCATATAGTACAGCTGTCATACAAACTGATCGTTCAAAATCGAGTTCTTGTATAGAAAACATTTTTAGTTGAAAATATATCTTCAAAAAATTTGTCATTGGTATTAGCTAAGGCAATAATGCAATCTCCGAAGTAATTGTTCAGATCAGATAACTATAGCATATTGCTGCCTTATAAACTGTAAGTTCTTGTATAAAAAATTATAAATTTGATTGCAACCGAAAATAAGATTTTTCCTGTTTTGTTTTGTGCATATCTCAAAAACTCAATTGCAATGATTACCTTCGCATTAGGTATAAAAAGTGCAATTATTTATTTTTTATATCGTATAAAAAAAAATGTTCCCGTTTGAATGTAAAATTTCGTTATTTGTTATGGTTTTATTATTTTGGCATTTTGCTGATAACCCACCAAACGAGTTTTCTATTTTTTGTTTATCCCATCAACTCCTCCACACAGGTATAAAAGCACCAAAAGTTCTCGAAATTTATTCAGTTTCAATCAAAGGTTTAATAATTACACAAGTAACAATTTGAAGCATATTTGAAGAATGGCAAAAATAATGGTAACAAGCTGTGCCATTTCAACATGACACATTTTTTACCGTTATACTTGTACCTTTCAGATAATACTCGCAGTATGCGTCGCCTTGGCAATGGCGCATCCAGGCGATTATGGTGGTCGTGGCGGAATTGGTGGCGGTCAAGGTGGTTACGCTAGTCTAGGCGGACACGTTGGCCACGGTGGTGGTGGTGGTTACGGTGGACAAAGCGGTGGTGGTTATGGTGTCGGTCTAGGCGGACATGGTGGTGGTGGTGGTTATGGTGGCAGTCTAGGCGGACATGGTGGACATGGTGGTGGTGGCAGTAGTGGTGGATACGGTGGTAGCGGCCATGGTGGAGGTGGATATGGTGGCGGTGGCTACTAAAACTTTTTAAGGCGATCAATTAGTTGTCGTATGTATTAAAAGTATTCATAATGAAAAAATAAAAACAGTTAAAAAAGAATTTGTAGCTAATTTTTTGATCATAAAGTAAATACAAGGAATTCCTGTTAATTATACAGGATGGCTGCCCAAAACATAGCCTTTTCAGAGTTGTTCTGTAAGGATTAAGTTTGGGTGTAACCAAATGTTCGATGCTCTCAGAAAGGTTCGTGAAATATTCCTTTGTCTATACAAAATGAAGTCTTGGAATCTAAGATTGGTTTATAAAGGGTTATCCATTTTGAGGTCTCCTACTTTTTTAAAGAAAAAACACAGACACTTTAAATTTAATGGGGAATGTTTATTATCATTTGAAAAAACATTATTTGGCATTTATTTTTTGAAGGTTAGCTCACCCAAATATTGGACGCGGTAACGTCTCAGATGATCCTTCCAACGAGTCTAACTTTCGATTACTCGTTCGAGCATTTCGACTTATTTGAAAACGTGATCACATTCGCTTGACGCTGACCGTTCTCTCAGTTTATTGAGACATCGATCTGAAATTTTTGCAGCCGTTCTTTTCACACCATGAAATTGCTTATTTGTAAGAACGGCCGATATCAAAACAACTATAGTATATAGCTACCTTACAAACTGATCGACTGATACTATGATACTTAAAACTAATCGAGATAGATATAAGATTATTACCATATATAAATAATCAAGATGACGAGAAAAGTTGAAATCTGGGTGACTGTCTGTCTTTCCGTGCAAGCTAGAGTCTAGAGTAAAAATTGAGATAACTTGATGAGATTTGGTATGCGGATTTTTTACAGAAAAAATTATAAGTTCGGGCCACAGCCACGCCCGCAAATCGCCATTAAACGAAAATCTATAGAGTGCCATAACTAAGCACTAGAGTAGCATATTTACGTCAGAGACATTAAATGTTACCTCCAAGATTGTATGAGAGGATTTTATGGGAACCGGTGTGAAAATTGGACGATGATCGTGGCATCGCCTACTTTTTAATGAAATCACATATCTCGAGACCGACCAACAACTCTTCACGAAATTTAGTACGTAGCTATGTCACAGTGTGAAAATGGGCGAAATCGGACTACAACTACGTCTACAACGTTCTCTCTACGTTTTCATATAACAAAAATTTAAATTCCACTTGATTCTTTCACTTTACAGTGCATAAATCAAGTATTAATTGATATGTCAGGATAAAGTTAAGCACAAATTTTGCCTTTGTGGTGTGTCACCTTATGAATATGTGGACCCAGCGCTTATAGTTGACTTTTTAACGAAAATATCGGACATAGTGTGAGATAATATAATTGAAATTTGGAGAGACCTTTCCTGATAATAATATATCTACGTATCTAGAATGGGTTAAATAGGATCATTACTTTACTTAGAATGAATAAAATCGGTTTAAAACTTGCCTTAGACTGTAATAACTAACAAGTCTTATGTATATGAATGTATTTCCCTGCCTTTAATCTTTGCAAGTTGCAAGAGTATGAAATGTTGGTTATACTCGAACTTAGCACTTCCTTACATGTTGTTCTTATTTTTTCGACTAAAACTATATGTACATACATGTATTATGAGCTATAAAACTATGAGCGTATAAAAATGTATACATATAAAATAATACATGTATGACTACCCAACATGAAGTCGTCGGCTGTTACAAATTTTATATTACACATTATATTATACACGTACATATATTGCATATTTACGAGATGAGAAGCATGTAGCATGGGGATATGGTGAAGTATTTAGGCTTCATCTGAGATAAGAAGATTTCAAGGAAAACTAATATCGAGGAGAGAAGCCGTTGACAAAAATGGAGTCTAACCGAAAGTAATCCTTTGGCTCTACACCAATATAGTCAAGGTTACTATGTCGTCTTTGTGTGGTGAGGGGCGCTTGAAAAAGTTAAACTTACTGACAAGCTCGAGAGCTTGGACAGTGAGCTTCTTAACGGATGGATCAAAGCTTGGGAGAAAGGTTGGTTGAGGGATGTTAGAAATTATCTAACAACTGCCATTAAGATATCGGTAGATCTACTACTCTGGAGTACAGCCTCCTTCTAAGAAGTGATCATCCACACTGTTAACAGAGCGTTGATATATATAAGTCATGAATTCACTAACCCTACAGTGCCTAATACCTAACCTCGGTATGACTGGCGAGCTGGCAACAAAAGTCACCCTATCTGTAGAATGGCAATGTGCAATGCTCTCTTTGTACGTTTTTCTACTTAGTAGTTGGGCTTCGCGTGAGCTTGGCCAGCTTTAGACTACGCTGCCCTGCGAAAAATCCTTTCGACCCTACACTAACATAGGTGGATCGTGTGCAAGTAGTCCACTGGGCTCTCCGCCTTCAGTAAGGATTGTCTGCTCTAGTTGGAGGTGATGTAATTAGACAGTACGCAATCGGGGTCAAAGCGGTAGGGTTGAGAATTTTTCCGAATGCCAATTGTTTAAAAGAAAACTAGGCGAAACCAGCTCAGCACTTCTTTTTTGACTGTTCCGCTTTGACTAAAACTTTAACACATGTGAGATGCCATTGAGATGGTGGAAATATAAATAAAACGTCTATGCTTGTTTGTATTGACCACAAAGCGCTTTGTCGACTTATAAAATCTGATTAAAGGAGTTCTCTTTTATGATTTCACAAAGTGCGATTGTTATCTTGAGGAAAAGTGATTTAAATGCACACAGTTACAGTTAGAATGTTATATTAGAATATTTTTTCCAAAAATTCGGCTTACGGCCATGAAAACGTTCGATTCCGTACATCTTTTTAGATGCAAGGGTCCATCAATTTTAACTCAAATTAGTCACTGGTCGTACAGACGGATGGTCGACAAACGGACAGACTTCCGGAAATCAACTATCCTGATATAGATACTTATGTACTAGACTATTAGATATCTATGTGGATAATAGTTTTTAAAGGAGTTAGGCTATTCAATTATGTTTGTCTTGAATTTCATAGAACATTGCTCTTTGTTGTTCTACCAGACTTAGTTTAATGTCTTGATTAAAATATTAAAATAAATACAAATATATGTATGTACATGCATGTATGTATATAAGCAAACATCTTTTTACTTTTTGAAAACCAAAGGTCAAAGAAACACCAAAAATTGAGGCTTAATCATTATCATTGTCGGGTATCTTCGCTTCATTCATTCATTTGGCTGCAAAACTGGCAGGAACAACAATCACAGCAAAGACAGATTCGTGTTATCATTGTAAACAAATACTATTTTTTTTTGCGGTTATATTTCGGGAATTTTTCTCAAAAACAATTTCGATTACTGTGTATTTTCTAGAATTGAATTCATCCTATCAGCTTCTGCCAACCAATATAAAAGCACCACCATTTTTTTAAATCTATTCAGTTTCATTCAAAGGTTTAATAATTACACAAGTGACAATTAGAAGCTAGTTTGAAGAATGGCCAAACTAATGGTAACAAACCCGTGCCATTTTAATATGTATAAATTATTTACCGTTAAACTTGAATTTTTCAGATAATCCTCGCTGTCTGTGTCGCCTTGACAATGGCGTATCCAGGTCATGGTGGCGGTCGAGGTGGTCACGGTCAAGGTGGTTACGATCAAGGCGGTTATGGTCACGGTGGTTATGGTCACGGTGGTTATGGCCAAGGTGGTTTTAGTGGCGGCCAAGATGGTCTAGGAGGTGGTCACGGTGGTGGTCACGGTGGTGGTCACGGTGGTGGTCGAGGCGGTGAAGGTGGTTACGGTCTAGGAGGAGGTCACGGTGGTGGTCACAGTGGTGGTGGTTACGGTCAAGGTGGTTTTAATGACGGTCATGTTGGTTTTAATAGCGGCCAAGGTGGACGTGGTGGCTTAGGAGGTGGTCACGGTGATGCTGGAGTTGGTGGAGGACATGGTCATGGAGGACAAGGCAACTTTGGTGGAAACGGCGGTTATGGTGGACAAGGCGGGCATGGTGCTGGTGGTCATGGTTATTAAAATTTTCGATTATATACATATGTATGTATAAAAAATTTTAATACTACCATTAATAGACGCGTTAAAAGTATTAAAAAATAAAATGAAATAAAAACTGATAAAATGGAATTTGGAGCTAATTTTTATTGATAATATACCGATGGAATTCTGTTTAAAAGTACGCAAAAAAAAAATTGTTTTCCCAGAACTATGAAGTAGAAAATCTCAGAAATTGTGAGATTATAATTCAGTAGCTGTGACTTGAGAGGTTAAATTATAATACAACAATAAAATTTTCTTCTGGTTGTAAACGTGTTACCTCAAACCATACTTGGTTAGTAGCTGTATAAACGTATAACCGATTAGAATATATAAAATATATCGCAAGACCTCTACTATTATTTTCCCGCTTAATATGTACATACATATGTATATTCAGATTATGTAATAAATTGTTACTTCATAAAGAATACATACATATGTTAACCGCAGACACCGGGATTATTAAATTGTTCCAAAAGTACTCCAACAAAAAAATAATTTTATTTTAACGAATAATTGGCAGCTACACTTTTCATCTTTCAATTTGACAAACAGCTGATTTCTCCTGACCAAAACAATCGATTATTAATTCGCGTTGTGCTGGTTTTTTTTTTTTCAAACAGCCCCAAATACGTAAATTTGCATTGAATAATAGTTGAAAATGAAATAAAGTTATTTTTTAAATAATCAATACAACCGCATTGTGTCGAATTGATGTGACGAACGGTGGTCATTATGGCCATGTTGACCCGTCGTACCTCACCCGGTTCACCAAAAGCTTTACAACGTTTTCAAAACTGCATATCCTTTCTCTGGCCGTCATTGCATTCAGGTACATCTCATGACAATAGAATACAGCGTAAGTCCACCCAACTGGACACAATTGATTGTTTAACGAATGAACTAGTAAGTCGCAATTCCAAAAAATGGGATGAACTACGAGACACGCTTATTAAGAAAAGCAACAAAAGTGATTTAAGTGCACACAACTTTAGTGATCACAACGAAATGGTATCTACTAGTTTCGGTCAGAATGTGAATATGTTGTCCAAGGGTGTTGTAAGCGATTTACAAGCTATTCGTTCACCACAACTGGGGTTAGATATACGTTCTTTATCTCAAGCACAACTGGACAATTTATTATTATCTACGGTGGAAATAAAAAATAAACCAGATTTTCTATACCTAATCAGGCAATGCTTACGTCACAAGCAGCTACCATCGAATGAAGTACTATTGGCTTGTCTTAAATACCTCATGCAATTGTGTCGTTTGCAACAGATCGACTCATTGGCAGATTTGTGTAAGCTACATGAACATCCACTTGTTAAAACATATGCCAATTTCGCACCGTTCAAAGCAATGGCACTCTGGCGAAGTGGAAGTGCAGATATAGCTTTAATGACATTGCATCGTGGCTATGGGGACTGTATGGAAACGGATGAAGGCAGGCGAATGACGCGTAATGTTTTTCGTACTATTGTTGAGGAGACATTAGTGCAAAAGAGTGATGCGGTCTTAGTTTCACTGATGCAAGTGGCACACTCAATATATAAAGAACAAAAAGATATTTTTGTTGTCGCCTGTGTGTGGAAACAATGTTTCGCTAGTGAATGGTTCTGTGATCAAAAATCCGCAGCAGAGCTTTATGAACATTATAAAGAGCTACAATTACTTGTCGCACGACGGTATGTTTTGTTGTATATATACGCTACGGGTTAATAACAGAAATTTTGTCATCCATAGTTCAAGTTCTCTATGTTCATCATTTTTACGTGCGAATAATGTTGATGCTGTACATCGCCTAATAGAAGCGTTTTTACAAAAAAATCAACGAGAAGCTTGCGCAAATTGTCTGGGTCAATTGTTTAATCACCAATGTGAGTACTTTCTTTTTTTTTAAGGAGGTATTGAATAAAAATATTCTAATTTTAAAGATTTGAGGAGTGATTTAAGAGCTTGTGCTGAGATCATTAAGTCCTGCAGTGAACTAGGAATGCCGTTAAGTGCAGTTCAAAATGAACAATTTTTAAGTTTGTTCCTTAATCAACCGGCAACAACTGCTGTACGCAATGTGGGTCATCAATCAAAACCAATTAAGGAGTTCCAGTATAAATTTTAAAATAACGCGAATTAAAATATGACTTCAGATGTTACTTTATTTTTTTTTTTTTTATTTATCTGTAAAAGTTTTTGAAGTAAGCGAAACATATGGTATTTATTTTTTGTTGTTAAATAGCGAAATGTTACACTTTACAACTGACAAATATTCGTAAACTTGCACCAATAATTAATGGTTCACTATTGAAAGTTCTAAATAAAGCAATAAACAGTTCAATATTAATAAGTATTATTTATAACTAATGCATTAATATATCTTAAAATTATTAAATTCGACGCTGAGAAATTATAGAATTAAATTAAGATTTAGATTTGGATAGATCCCCAATTATCATATATTCATTGCAACGTGTTACCAACTGAAGATAGCGTAGTGCCTCTAAGCATGTACGAGTGCGATATTACGCACAAGTGACACAGGGTTTACGTCCTTCCAGTCCTCAAATTAAAGGCACATTAATTTTTTTTATGTGTGGAACTAAATTTTAATCATTTTTCTCAAAATTCAAAACGTTTCATATGACGTATATATGTCGATAACAATCAGCTGATATCTGGCTGTAAAGCAAATCGGTTATCGACTTGCTGCAAAACTTCCAAAAGTTACCGCTTGTAGAAAGTAATTCGAATTTTTAATTTAATGATTTTGATAACGTGAAATTCCAAAAAAAAAAAAAAAAATTATAATATAAACCGCATTGACCAGGTCTATTGTATTACGCCCAATTTTCATTTCCATAGAATTAATTTTTACTTATCCACATCAAGAAGTTCAAACGTATTTATCGAAAATAATACTGCAATTACTATACTAAGGGTCGTTATTATTCCGGTCGTCCTCATTATCACTTTCACTGATAAGTGTCTCTGATTTGTCTGCCTCTGCGGTTGCATCCGTCTCCGGGACACCTGTACAATCGCGGCAACGCAGTATAAAATGTTTTTGGCAAAGCGGTCGTAGGCACTGTTGGCACCGCGTTTTTGTTTTTCGCGAATTTTTACTGGGACACTTTCGGCAACATAAACGACTTTGTAAGTTTTTTGGAAATAACTTGATACCTTCAGGTATTTTCATTTTATCTGTTTGTAAAAAGATAAAGTTAGTTTCTCCATGTATTTCGTTTGTGGCACTGGCGAATAGTTGCTCGGTTGGCTCACCCAGAATTTCGGAGATTTGTACTTTTTGTGACAATGTTAAACGATTCGAATTAAGTTGCCGTTTAAGTTGTTGCTGTGTGAGATATAGACCAAGATGGCGTTGGAAGTTTCTTTGTTTTATGCTTTTATCGCCATTCGAAGAAAGCACAAAAAGTATCCATGAATTCAAAGCGGCATAATCAAGCATGTTCTGAAAGAAATTAGCCGAGAAAAGAACGCCATTGTGTGGTATTGTATGTCGCGTTGAGTACGTACAACATGCTTTGTTGTAAGTATTGCATGCATTACAGCTTAAGTTGTATAAACGTTCTACGTTTATTGTTTTCGGAATACCGCTGGCCAAAAAAAATCCCGGACAAGTTTCACTTGATATTAATGTGCAATGATCCGAGTATAATCTTCGCCAAGTACTGTTCGACGCATGATCTGCTGGCAGCTCCAAAGCATTATTTGGCAACATGCCAACTACAGACATGTCCATTTCCATCATTTTATTCGTTAGTTCTATGCTAATAAATTTTGGCGAAAGTACAATATTTCGTTTGCTTCCTTTTATGTCGGATACCAGTCGTACCACGTCACGTTCTGTATAACCCCCTTTGGGGTGCAGAATCGCATTGCACATATAAAGCGTCTTTGCATCGCATAAAGTTAACAGTTGTGAATCTTCACTTGAATTTGTCAAATTAATCAGCACTTCGTCAACGGAACAATTACCACTTGGTGCATAATATGAACGACAGTTTACTAAAAATTTGTTCCATATATCCAATATTGCCCGGGAATTATATGTCTTTCCATTTACGTCATTTTCTCCAAAGCTTAAGCATTCGTATATAAATTTGAATCTTTTCAGAGGCATTGTAGCGCGAAATACAGCATTTCCTAACTCCAATGACCATAACTCGTCCAGTGGACCATTATGAGTAGCATTACGAAATATACCACACAGATAATTAAGCCCTATCCAAGCGCGAAACTCCACCGCATCGATTAATCGTTGATGTGGTAATTTCGCTCTCCTTTCCTTTATCTCTATGTTGGTGTAGTGCAAAATTTGAGAGATAATTTGTTCATCAAAAAGTAAACTCCACATTTCCAGTATACTTCCCATTGTGTGGGCGGGCCCTTTGCCTTTAGGTTGCAGCAATTGTAGCGCAGATTGAAAGCTTTTGTTTTCAGCTCCATTTGTTCTCGCAGTCTTCCATAAAAAGCCATTACGTCCTCTGAACTCATCTTGACTTCGTTTTCTTTTGTAAAGTTTACTTGTTGCATTGTTTTCATTATCATCACCCTCACTTTCATCAGTTTCTAGTAAGTCAGCATCTTGATATGTGTAAGTGTAGTAATTTTGTGAAGTAATTTCCACATTGTTAAATAAAGGATCAATACAAGATTCGGGTTCTTCCTTGAAATCCGCACCTCTTGGATTTACATCAACCAGCGTATCAAATTCTGTTGCAGAAATAGAATTCAAAACTTTCAGTAATGTAGCGTCATGTTGATCGCAATCATCCTCCTCTGAATCATTTGAACGTTTTATGTTGGACAGCACCTTTGCAGAAAAACTCATAGTCGCTGACCTGATACAAATGAATATACCATTTTATTGAAATCATGTTTAATATCATATGAATTAACTTACATACGTGACCTATACAAAATATAATGGGTTAATAGGAATCCAGGGTTGCAATAGTGTTAAATCGAACTCCAAGTCGTGCTTAAATTTCATTAGAATAAATTCGATTATTATCACCACAAATGAAAGGAAACGCGCCTTAAATTTTTGCTCCAGGAATACACTGAAATCAAAATATACGCGTTATACAAAAAATTTAAATATGTGTGATTTTTGCAAGTATTATAAATTCCACAGACCTGTAGAAAGTGCATAGCAAAACAAATGAATAACTGCACCTACATCTTTTTTAATTCTTTATCTACGAATACGTTCTCAAAGGGGAACTGTAAAGGCGCAAAAGCGAAGTCAATTCTGCCTTCGTTCGCTGCTTCGGCTGTCAAATCGGCTCTAGCTAGATGTTCGTTTCGTCTACTTTTTGATAGCATTTTAGGTATTGAATGGAATCGTTTGTTGTATGGTTAACGCAATCGGTGTAAAACTGTGAAAATTCCGCGAGCATATAAATCGAAATTACAAATTAAGTTTCAAAGTGGTCTATAAAATTGAACAGCTAAAATAATTGTTTTGTGTGTACACAATAACAAAATTTGTGCGTTGAAAATGTCAAATTGACATTTTTGACTAGTTGACGGACAAAACTTCATTTTTTTCTGCTTTGTGAAAATTATCGGTATTTCGCTGTGTCTACTGCTTCTATTTGACATTCAACGACATTTGAGGTATGGAATATAGATATTGGTGATGTCAACGTAGCGCCTATGGATCCTTACAAAAACTCATACATTGGCTAAATAAATGAAATAATAAAGTTTTATATGTATGTTTGGATACAAAAAGACAAATATTCTAATATCTTAATTTTCTGCTGCACATAGATGTTACAACGCTTCGGCCATCTTGCGCAGAGCTTTGGTTATCTTATACCCCACATCTGACCTATTTTTTTTGTATATATTGAGTATATAAGTAAAGCGCATAACTTAACCGACTATAATTATTTACATTAAAACATGTAGATTCGGTTCGTTCGGTGATGTTTTGGTGAAAAATATCTCCCCTAGCATCATACCTCAGTTTCCAAAACCCACTGGGTGGTAGAAAATTTTTATATTTACATACATATGTATTTCGTATATTTCATTCTTATTTAAGATATTCCAATGACATTTGCTTCCAATTGCATTTTTCTATATGTCACTTTCTCACCAATTATTTTGTTTCCGCCATTTTGACAAACGAAACGAAAAACTTTTTTTTTGCTTTTAAATTATTCTTTTATTAATTCTATTTTCGTTGAAAGAACACAAAAATTCGAGTATATCTGTTTCATTCTCTCTTTAAGTTGGAATGGTGTAAAACGTCATGGAGAACAATAAATGACAAATGTCAAACGCGTGCTTCATATTTCGTGGCGTTCAAGGAATATTGAAGGAAAAAAGTTTGAAGTTTAATTAGTCAAAAATCGCAGTAGAAATTGACGTTTTGTAGATTTTGTATACAAATGCATGTCAAAAGCCACTGGAGCCGGTAAACTACTGTATGAGAAATACGCAGGTCTAGAGCTATCTAGGAAAACTATTGGAAGCATCTAAGCAACTGCTGACTTGTGATCCCTAAGGCAACTTTGTTAAAAAATTTATTTTAGAAAAACGCTTTAATCGTATTTAGGAGACAAAATCACTTGAACACTTATATATCAAATAGTAAGCAGACGTTTGGCGGTATATTTTAATTTTGACTCGGAATATTTCAACTTTTGAATTTTGTAAGACGCTTTAATTTTTTTCTTTGAAATAGCGAATTAAAAATAAAATATAGCATTGTTGATGAAGCCAATTGGTTACACGAGTTGTATTAAAGATTTTAAAAATAGTTTTCGTTTTTTGTATCATTCCCAGGTTACATGTTGGGCTGCTCCAACATACGTTAGTAAGAATATTGCTAAAATAAATGATTCTGTAGCATTGATTGTGCGAGTTATAAGAGAAAACATTCACTATTTCAAAGATTCAAAATGCTCTCACCGGACACACTGCATCACGAAGAAGTCAATTTGGCGTTAGACCGGCAAGTACGCCAAGACATACAGGATATGGCGCAAGAGGCGCAAATACAAGCACAAATAATAGCGCACGAAGGTAAATAGAAATCCTATAACTGTATGTTATTAATAAATATACTGTGACGTTATGCTAGAAAAAACCCTTAGTGTCAATATTTAAGACTTTTTTGTGAAAGACAGTAGCGTTGACAATAGCTTAGAATGGAATGACAGACCGGTGGCACTTGACATCGCCATGCCGGCATGTCAAAATACACTATTTGACAAGGAAATGTCACTTGCATGCAAAATTGTAAAAAAGTTATTTGGTTTACACATCTGCAACATACTTTTAGATATTGATTATATGAAAATATTTTGTTTAAAACAGTTTGATCTAGAGCGGCAACAAGTGGGTGCTACAAATTAACGCCAATTGCAATATCGTCTATAACACCAATTTACATATTTATTTGTAGCGCGAGATCGATTTCAATCTACATCCAGCGTTGAGGAAGATGGTCAAGAAGATATTGAGCATGACGGGGTCACCGTTTTGGGTGTTGTTGAAGCCGATGATGATGATGACGTACATCATCATGAAAGTATTGTTGAAGAGGATTTGACCGAACACGATTTGTCTGATATGCAGGATGTCAAAGATTTCAAGGATATGTTAATGGAATCCAATGATGGTAATGCGGACAATTCTTTAATGCGCAAGCGACGCGGCAACCTGCCAAAACAATCTGTTAAGATCTTAAAACGTTGGTTGTATGAACATCGCTACAATGCATACCCAAGCGATGCAGAAAAGTTTACACTATCACAGGAAGCTAATTTGACGGTTCTTCAGGTGTGTTGTCAACTCTAAAATTTATAATATATATTTTTCAACTTTAATTCTATTAAAAAAAGGTTTGCAATTGGTTTATCAACGCCCGAAGACGTATATTACCCGAAATGATACGACGAGAGGGCAATGACCCTTTGCACTTCACCATTTCAAGGCGCGGTAAAAAATTAAACTCATCATTAAACTCATCAAATAGTTTAAGTGCAAGTGGAATTGTACCAAATCCTATTACTGGTAGTCCAGCATCCGAAGTGGTAAGCATTTTTAATACATATACACGTAAACATTTATTTTAAAATATATATATATTTTTTTTTAAATTTAGAAATGCTGTCATTTTTATACATATACTTAAATGTATTTTAAAATATTTGTTTTGGGGTTTTTTTTAGATCGTTGGCGCGACGGAAGAAGTTGAGGGCGATGAGGTACATGATGGCGTCGCAAATGTACTAACAGCGTTAGGCCATTTCGTACAAACGCCTGGCGGTCACATGGTCAAAGTTGAACCAGACATGGAGTACGATGATAGTGTAATTTATAGGTATGTCGAAAATAATTGCAAGTATTCGGATAGTGTAATTTTTTATTAATCGCATATTTTTGTTTAACTATTGTATAAATGTATTTTGCTCTTGTCAACCTCATTCATTAATCAACAAATATTGCATTTATTTCGCCATCAATCAAATAATCGAATAATTCGAACTGTGTTCAAAACCATGCGAAAAGGTGGCAGCAGGCGATTGCTGCCAATCCGCAAGGCTTTCAAAATTTGCATCCACAAATTCAGGCAAAAATTTTGGCAAAAATTCAAGCCGCTAAACAAAGACAAGCAGCCGCTAATGCAGCCGCCGCCGCTGCTGCTGCTGCACAAATGCAACAGCCTTCATACAATACTAGCACGAGCGTTATGCAAAATCCAGATATTGCTGCTGTTGCAGGTTTGCCAGCTTCTCCGCCATCTTCAATCAACTCTTCCGCAGCGGCACATTCTCAGTATCCGCACAGTGCGAAATACTTCTATTCACAAACACTCAATCAAATTTTCCACATCCAGAATAGTATGCCGCAAACGAAGAACTCATATTTCAATGCGTTGAGGTAGTCGGACAGTGGCTTGTGTTTTAAATGCTTTGCTTTTCTTATTTTATTGTATAGTTTCTTGCTGTTTGTGTGGTTGATGCACTATCATAATTAAATGTAATTTTATATGGAGTATTTCGCTTTTTTTTTTTTTAATAGCGAATTATTTAATTTTATGTTTTTGATTTTTAATAATAACATGTATTTATATTCTTACAGATCGGAAGATGACAGCGTCAACGAATATGATTCGTGCGAGCCACAAAGTGAGGAGGAAGGCAAATTTGAAAGCTCAGACGCTTGGCAAAGCGTTATGAAGTAAGTTTGTACAATGCGAATAAAGCATTTTAACTACACCTATTGCGAACAGCTCGGTGCTAAAATCATTGTAGCACTCTTGTAAATATGTACAAATGTTGGATTTGAGTATTTGATATTTAATTATTGTACAAATGTTTAATTTGAGTATTTGAAAGTTAATTTTATGAAAACATCAATTTTTATGTATTTATTTAAACAATATTTTTTCTTTCAAATTTGTTATACAAAAAAGGTGTAGTTATTTGGCTGCACACTATTATTTTCTCTTTTACTACTATACTTCTTTGAAATTTTCTTTCTATTTTTTTGTTTTTTTGTGCTCAATATGTTTTTCGAAAATTTCCGATATTTACACGTATTTTTTGGTCTACAACCCATGTCTATTGCCTGCCTGGAACTTTTCAAAATTTTTCCAACATCAATACCACCACCATCACTACTGCCACTATGATTGTACCACTACAAAAACAAAACACATATAATCTATGCAAACGTAAAACAACACACCCAAAACAACAATATTTTCGTCACATGTGTGTTTGTACGTTGTTCATCTAAAAAAAAAAAAAAATCCCACTCACCTCTTCGTTCCTACGCTCATACCGCTTCATTTTGGTTATTTGTGACTTGACTGTCCGTCCCGAAATGAATGCGTACACTTATTTCGTCTATTGAACGTTTCTTTTACGGGACTGTTTTCAGTACCGAGGAAGTAACGACCTCTAGTCCAACTGCAACGAATAACACCTATTGGACGACGGCATCACATCCGCACACGACGACAGCGCAATCTCATGCAATAGGTGTTACTGGCGCAACAACAACAGGTACGGCCCTACCTCTAAACGATGCATAATCGTGTAGTTCTACATTAATTGCTATTATTTATCTCTTTCCACTCAGGCAACAATGTGATAGCAGCTGCCAATGTGAATGCGCTGGTCACACCAATCGAATGTAAAGCTGAACCGGGCGTAACAGTGGGCGCCGAAGCAACGGTTGTTACATCAGGCGTCTCAAATGCATCTAACAGTAATAATAATAGCGCAAATGCAACAAATAACAATACAATTACATCAACCGTACAGGTTATACATCCTGGCAGTCATCTGGTGAAAGGTTTGTCTGTTTTTTCACAAAATATCCGAATATACTGTAAAACTGTCATAAATATTACTTGTTTTGCAGGTGTGATCCGTGACGATAAAGATAAATTTAAATGTTTGTACCTGCTGGTGGAGACGGCAGTGGCCGTGCGCCAACGTGAGAAGGAACAAGAAGACGAAGATGTGCATGTGCTGGGAAATTAGTTATTCGACCACCAACCACACGCAATGAACAATACAACAAAACGAAGAAATTCACACATCCACCAACGGTTTGCAGTGATGTGTCTTTTGTATAGTGTCAAAAAATGTGAAATTAAGCCTTGCACAGTTTTATTTATGCGGAATTTCTGAGAGCTCACCGTTGTGTGAGCAATAATAACTCTTCTAAGCACTAGTTAGTACCATACATTTAGCGCAATAATCGGTTAGATTTCAAATATTTTCTGCTTGCTACTAATGTTCAATATTACAACTTTCTTATAGCATATGTTAATCATATTAGTTTTTTCTCTTTAATTTCGCAACTACAATATTTAAATTAATTTGTCAATGTTTTACATGAATTACATTAAACGCGTATTTATCACTTTCTAATAATTAAGTGTTTTTATACTTGGTTGTAAATGCTTATATATATACAGATTATCAAATGAAAATACGCCAATTTGCCAAATAGCTACTAATAATAATAAATTATATTGCTGTAACTTTAAACTTTTTCTATTTTATTGCAAAAGTGCATTAGACAAATTTACAATAATTTCAATAAGAGATTGTAGCAACAACTGCTTACAATCTCTTCTGCGCGCTGCAGAAAATGCTTGGATTCATTTAAAAAAACATTTTTTAATATTGAATATTTTTATTTTATGTTTCACAAACGTACATGCGTTTAATTGCATGAAAACGAATATTTTAATTTGTCTTTTATTAATGTTCTCGTATTAGTTTTTTTTCATATCTTTCCTTCATATTTCCTGCGTTTTTAAAGTAAACAATGAACAGCTGATAGCTCACTTGAGAGTTGTTATAATGTATGGTATTTCCCGTTACTGCCACATTGCATCACCTAAAACTGTCAAAAATAAATTATGCGCGAATATTGGCAGTTTTTGAGTATGAAGAAATGTAAATCAGGTCATTAAATAATAACTATTTTTTTTATTGAGTTTTGAATTGAGTTTGAGCCATATTTCTCATAAAAACCCATCAAATATGTGTTAGCAATTTTTAGTGCGTTTTTGCTTAACATCTTGTTTAAATTTAAAAAATTATTTTTACTTTGATGATGCAGTGTGGTGAATAGCTGTCTAAAAAGTCAAAAATCTATTAAGCATAATTAAATTAAAAAATTAAATTTGATATTATAAAACAAAAAATTATCAAAATATAACTTTACAAAAAGAGAAATAAATATTTGAAATTTAGTTTTACCAAAAAATAAAAGGAGAATAAATGCGTAAATTAATACATTTCAAAGTTTTTACTTACAAAACTAGTTGGTAAGCATTTTACTTAAGCGCGTTGTACACTTGTAAATTAATTGGAAGAGCGAAGAAAAACTTGTAAAGAAAAATAGAAGTGCATAATTATTAGAACTTTTCACAACTTGGGAAAAACTATGAAAAAATGCAATTATTTTTTACTGTATCAAACGAACACTAAGCCTAGACATTAAGCTTTCTTTTAAATGCTAACTTTCCAGTCCGCTAACTTTTCGTTCTACGTCATAGATATAAATAATATCGCTAAACAGGTACCATTTCTTAATTTCTGACCTTTGTAATACGAAAATGTGTAAAGAAATTTAGCAAACAAATTAAAAATTTACTTAAAATCAATTAAATTATAAATACAATACAAATATAAATATCGAAAATTGTTAATCATAAATAAGAAACAATAATTTATATACACAAATAAACCACAATTTGTCGAATGAAATAAAAACCGAAAAGTGAAAATTGCTAATTTTAGTAATTATATACATGACGACAAACTCTTTTTATCTACCACAGCAGCTCTAACAGCACAACTAATTGAAACATAATTTTCGTATTCTAAATATGAAGAACTCCAATTGGTATGATTTTTCAATTTTACCTTTCCATACATACATATGGGTATTATCGTTTTATTATTTTTGCAGCGTTAACCAAATTACTGTGGCTTATAATATTTAAATAATAAAACGCATAGATTTCGCTGGATTTTGAGCAATAAGGTAAAATTTTCTTTTGAAATTACATTTTTTCTAATATTTTTTGTGTCAATGTGATTTTGGACCTTTCTGAATGTTTCAAGAAAGTTTAGTATCGAATTTAAATTTTTGACCTATGTATCTTAGCTACTTGAAATTATGTTTCATGTTCAGTAGCAATGATTAAAAATAATGATTGTATGTACGAAACATAAAACCAGGGACCTAAAAACAGACCTATTGAAAATGGGTGTGAAAAGTATGAAATTAATTTTTTTTGCACTGTTTTGTAGTTAGTTTTTTAGTTTTAAATTGAACTAGTCTCTTAGTTTTTATATATCGACTTACAAGAAGCAGCTCGGAATCGCCAAAATAGGACCTCCATAGCATATATTGCTTAGATCGGACTACAATGTATAACATATACATATATAGATGCCATACAAACTGCTGAATTAAAATGAAGTTCTGGTATGAAAAACTTTTTCATGCAAAATGTTTGTTAAAAATCAAGAGAAAGATCTTTTATGCTAAAAGAAATGCACCTGCGAAGGGTATACCAGCTACGGTATCGCTGAAGTTAACACTATCTTTTATATAATTTTGATGTTTATTTGAATTAATTTATTAT